AAATGCTTCTTCTAAAATTTTTTTAAAAATATTATAAAAACAACAACAAAACAACAACAACAACAAAAAAAAAAAACGTGCCGAACTATAGGTTTCAAGCTAGTAACGACACATCCAAAGTCTTTGATATAGGCCAATGAAATAGAGTGGTGGCAAAGCCCAGGAATACTGCCGTAGAGGTGTGCAGGCATGTAGAATGCAAGGAGAGCCCAGGAAAAAAAGAATAGGTCAGGGAAGACTTCCTGGAGGAGGGGTACCTGAGTCTGCTTGCCTTGAGAGGACAAGTGAATATGGATCAGCTGAAGGGAGAGAAGGAAAACAAGGAGGATGGGACCAAAGTAAGACAATCTTGCAGAAGTTTAACTCTGTTGGATGGGTGCAAATTATGGACTGTGAAGACGCTGAGGCGGGAGACGGGGCGTGCAGGAGACGCTGGTTCCCGGAGGACAGCAGGGGAGGGAGGGAATCGCCTCTTGCTGGCTGCTGGCTACAGTGCCCTGCGTCCACGTTTTCTGTGCTACCTGAAAACATCTTATTCTTGGTTCTTCCTCCTAAAAATCAAAGTCTGCTTAGCAATCATCTCACTGTCTCCTGCCCCACCCCCCATTTCCTCAGCAGATTGGGAATTGAAGGTACCAGGAGTGTTTCTGGGAAGATAAGTTATGGCTTCAAAGTCACCCACGTGGGATCACTGGCCCTTGGTCCTCGACACCCAGAAATAGATAAAATTGGCCTGAGTCAGATGAACAACTGCAGACAAGAGGCTTCTCAGTGCAGAAATGGCAGAGTGGGACGTGTCACAGCAGGACGCAGCCGATCCCGGAGGCTGGAGTCCCGGAGGCTGCTGTGTCAGGCCCTCTGGGGACAATACTCAGGCAAGCTTTCAAGAAAACTTGGGGTTGGGATCTGGACCTTCCAAGTAAGAGTTCAGTGGACAAGGATTCGGACTGATTTTATGTCTATTGGCTATTTAACAGTTACGGAGAAGGGTGCCCCAGACAAGTTGTTAAAATTCCCCAGCCCTCAGATGAGAGAAATTGAGAGACAGAGAAATGGCAACCTCAAAAATGCAGACAGCGCTCTTTGTCTCTTCTCTCTCTCTCTCTCTCTCTCTCTCTCTCTCTCTGAGTCCTTGAACCCAGTTGGAGCACTGCGGGTGTAGGGTCCTCGTCTTGGACTCCGGTTTGGCTGCCCTCAGAGCAGCAGCCCCCACACAGTTCACTTTTGTTTTTCAAAGCGGTCTCACACCTCTCCTCTCCTCTCCTCTCCTCTCTCTCTAAATCAGTTAGTGTATAGGACATCTCTATTTTTGGTCTTGGGAGGGTTTCTGATGTTCTTTTTAGTTATGTAAAGGAAATGGTCAGCTCCTATTTCTCAAACAGAGAGCTCAAAATGATGGAAAGATGTCCTGTTCTACCTGGAAAATGCTCCCTCCCCTGGGCAGCCCATTGTACCCTGGCCAGCATGCGTGCTGCTGGAGGAGAGATGAGACTGGTAGAGAATGTTACCTTGTTTAAACCAACCCAGAATGTTCCAAGAGCTTATTTGATGATACACTTGACCAGTTCCCTCCAAGCTAGGGAGACCTCACAACACAGTGATGGGCAATGAAGGAGGAAAGAGGGTGGAGGTTCTCCCCTTGGGAGCACACCTTGTAGAAGCAATGACACCCTGTGTATGTTGGTCATTCCATCGTCCTCCTTTTTCTCCCCCTCCTCTGCCATCCTCACCAACTTCCATTGACTTTCTGTCTTCTTGCTAAGAGCTGGGGAATTGAATGGGTACAGGGAGTGCTAAGAAAATGCATGTACTGTGTGAACCTGGGATTAAGAGACAACTGGAGTGAACCAGGACCAGGTAGTGCCCCAGGGAGGGGCTGGCTTTGGCACACAGTCCTCTTAGCCCTTTGGCGATACCTGGGCATTTGAATCTGATGGGAGACAGACTTGCAGGCACAGATCAGGAATGTAGCATGCGCTCTTGAGATGGGAGTTACTGGTGTTTGGGGAAGTGAACTGGTTACCTCCTTCCCTGCTCTGGATTGAGAAATGGAGCCACTTGTCACCTCCATCTATCACCAAGGGAAAGCCCAAAGGAAGCCACATCTCTACCACCTCACCCATCACATCAGCCACCCCTCCTCTGGGAGAGGGGGAGTGAAGGCTACGTGTCTTCCTAACATCTCGATGGGGCAAGAGACTGGTTCTCCCTATTTGTATTAAGATTAAGAATAATCCTGAAAGGGAGCAGAACATAGAGGCCTGTATTTATTACAAATATTCTGTGAAGTCTATACATATTATATAAATACATTATGAGAGGCAGATATGGAATCAGCCTGCGGTTGATTTATAACTGCGCTTGCCGGTTGCGGGACTTAAGAAGGTTACATAATGACTCTGGGATTTAGGATTCACGTCTGTGAAATGGAGGTCATAGTATTGACTTCAGAGTTTTTATTTTATTTCTATTATTATATTTACTTTTAAAAATAATTTTAATTTTATGTGTGTGAGTGTATTGCCTGAATGGATGTAAGTGCACCCTTCTTGTACAATGCCCGCAGAGGTTAAAAGAGGGCATCAGATCCCCTGGAACTGGGGTTATGGATGTTTGTTAGCTGCCATGTGGGTACTGGGAATTGAACCCTGGTCATCTGCAAGAGCAGTCAGTACTCTTAACCAATGAGCCATCCACTTTTTTTTTTTTTTTTTTTTTTTTTTTTTGAGATAAGGACCCACATTGCTCAAGCTAGCTTTGAACTTAATATGTAGCAAAGTTTAACCTTAAATTTCGGACCCTCCTGTCTCCACCTCCCTAGTGCTGCGCTCACCAGCATAAGCCACCAGTAGCTACACAGTGTATGTGGTGGTGGGAATCTAGCCCCTGGCTTTGCACATGTTGGGTGAGTGCTCTGCCAGTGAGCTACACCCCCAGCCTGTGACTTCGTTTTTAATTTGGCTGGATCTTCCTTGTTGTAAGGATTAAGAAGCTAGCTAATGTGAAGTCACCACATCAGCACTGACTCTGTTGCACCACTCAGACAGGTGCTAAAATGCTCAGTCCACTCTTCAGCAAACACACAGCTGGCAGCCAGTTAATGACGATTAAACCCACTGCTTTATCTTGGGAAAACATCCTCACTACAGGGGCTGGAGAGATGGCTCAGTGGTTAAGGGCACTGACTACTCTTGCAAAGGATCTGATTCCCAGCATCCACATGGCAGCTAACAATTGTCCTTAACTCCAGTTCCAGGGGATCCAATGCCCTCTTCTGACTTCTTTGGGCATTGCATGACATGGGCGCACTTACACATATGCGGGCAATACACTCATACACATACAATACAAAAAATAGAATACTTTTAAAAATCCTTTCTAGACTAACAGTGAGCAGAAGTTGTCAGTGTAAGGACCAATGGGTCTGACCACGGTCGACTTTTCAGAGAAAATAAGAGTATTTAGAGAGAGAAATTGCTGCCCAGATATGCCTGGTGATATATTCTCCAGTTGTTAACTATTCACATATGGGACCACATCTCTTCTAAACTACCAGCACCTTTAACTGTAGCAGTCCTCAGTCTCTCTTTAATGTCTGGAAAAGGGGAGTCTCTACTGTCCCCACTCTGGCCCCTGGCTGTGGCCCATCATTAAATGGCAGCCCCAAGTGGAAACTCTGAGCACAGAGCCCTTTCTTGCAGGAGGCTGGGCTCCTGTGGCCTGCCTCTTCCTGAGTACAAGCTGAGGCGAAAGGCCAAGACGACTTCCTCTCTTTTACAGCGTCATAAAAAAACATCTCATTCTTCAGGCGACACCTCTTAAGGGCTCATGTCCAGGCCATGATTAGCAGGTAATCTCATTCAAGTCTGTGGTCCATCAAGTCCTGCAGCCAGCTCTGCCAGGATCCACCTGTAGGAAGAGAGACAGGGTCTGTGATTGAAGCACTCCCATGGCCTTCAAAGTGCCTTCCTTCAAGTCACTCTTGCCCATCTGGGGCTAATGCCAGTCCTCTGGCTTCTGGCTGGATTGACTCCCTGGCCACCATTTGCCATAAAGAAAATTCTGCCCCCAACCACCCAGGCTGTACAAAGAGAAAGAAAGCTTCATTCTTTCACTAAATCATGGAAATACTGAGCCTGGGATGTTGGAAAGTGTTCAGAGGCAGTGGTAAAACCCTTTCATTTTCTTGATGGGGAAAAAATGAGACTTAGAGATGTTAAGTGGCTTCCCCAGGGTCATACCATAAGAAAGAGTGGCAGAGGGATTCCCTGAAGCCCACCCAGTGCACAGAATCATAGCTTACACTGAGCTTACACTGAGCTTACACTGAGCTGACCATTCTTGGGCCTATTTCCCAACTGGGTGTTCACTGTTTCAAGGATGCCCAATAAATACTTGCTGAAGTGAATCCTAAGTTCCCAGGAGACCGGCCCTGGGGCCACCTTGAAAAATCATCAGAGCTGTCCTTCTGCTAGTCCAGCTCAACCAAGACAGCAAGGAGTGGACAAGTAGGTTAAGACAGTCACAGGCAGCAACTTCCAGTGGGATCTTGTTCTCCATGACCTCTGAGCACATGGAGTCCTTGCATCCAGCCACTTGGCTATCCCACGGATGGTCAACACAGGCCACTCTACTTCCTACCTAGGGAGAGCAAAGTAGAGGAAACAGCAGGGGCTTGGGTGTGAGGCAGACTGGAGTTCCAGACCTTACAGCCATTGCTTCCTAGTTGCGAAACATTTGGCAATACAATCCCATCTGTCGGGACTGTGTTTTTTAAAGTAACTAAGAGCTGATGATGTCATGAGCTACGGGAAGAATAAGAAGAGTTCTTCACAGATCTACCTAGCCTGGGGCCTGACTCATGGCAGCTACTCAGTACAGTTCTTACTATGAGTTCATGAAATCAGGCTGATTGTAAGCCATCTGAGCCTCAGATTTGTCCTCTAAACCAGGGATATTTTTCTCATCCCATGAGCGAGCTTAATGAAAAGTTTATAGGACTACACACTTCAGCAGCAGATATAATAAAAATGGAACAATACAGACAATTAGCATGGCCCCTGTGCAAGAATGACATGCAATTTCATCAAATATTCCATATTTAAAAAAAAATTATATAGGACAGTGCCTAGGAGAAGTCTCAGGTCAACACTGGTTTCCTTCCTTTTGTTTAGCAATCTGACCAATATTTATAAAAAAAATATATAGAACAGTGCCTATGAGAGGTCTCAGGTGAACACTGTTGTCCTTCCTTTTGTTTAGCAATCTCACAGTGGTGGGGTGTGTGTGTGTGTGTGTGTGTGTGTGTGTGTGTGTGTGTGAGAGAGAGAGAGAGAGAGAGAGAGAGAGGAGAAGAGAAGAGAATATGTATTAACTAAAGATGATAACTTTAAAGATGTATTTTTATTTTATGTGTATGGGTGTTTTGCCTGCATGTATGTAAGTGCACCCATGTCATGCAATGCCCACAGAGGCCAGAAGAGGGCAACAGATCCCCTGGAACTGGAGTTACGGATGGTTGTTAGCTGCCATGTGGGTGTTGGGAGCCGAGCCTGGGTCCTCTGCAAGAGTAACCAGTGTTCTAAACAACTCAGCCATCTTGTCAGCTCAAGATAAAGGCTTAAGTTCAACTATTTCCACTCCTAACTTCAAATATCTCTACCTATGGGGATATTTTGACATATGTGATTTCTCCCACTCCCTCCCTCCTCTCCTTCCTTCTCTCTTCCTTTCTTAAAACAATGGCACACCACTTTATTATAGCTGAGAAAAAGCTGCTCCTTAAAAGCAATTTATATACTAGAGTAAAGCTTTAAGATGAATGTAGTAAAATAAGACATAATCCTTGTTGAGAATAAGTAGCATTATCACTGTAATTTTTGCATTCATATACATAGAAAAATCTAGACACCTAAAAACACTTTAATAAAAGATCATAATTCTAAATACTGTTTTAAAACGTGAAAGCATTACTTTCAATTTCACTGGAATTTAACAGAAGAAAACACACCAAAATAAGACTACGGAAGTTTTTGAGTAAATGTGTTTTTCCTGTGAGATAGTTCGTGAAAAATTCTTCTATGGTTAATCAAGAAGGGGCAGTCACTTTATGCTTTAAAGGCTCGAGATTCGGTTGGTCACCATCTGATATTTACCTTCTGAAAGAGGACATTCCTGCCCCAACCACCGGACTCGACAGAGAGCTGCCCTCTCTAGCTATCAAGTATCATCCAAGAACTTTGGAAACTGTCCAGTGGTAAAACTGTGTCAATTTGCTGACTGATAAAATGAGACTCAGAGACAACAAATGACTTTGCTAGGGTCACATGACACAGAACGGAAGAAGAGAGGTGGAAATTCAGAGCTGCTGGCTTTGAGGACAGAGCACTGCCCGCATTTGGTCATGTCTGGGCTGCGAAGGACAAGGATGGTGGTGTCTCTGATTTCTTCCCCTCCTTTCCCTCTAAAATATGGGTCTTGTTTTCTTACTAGTTTTACATTGCTTAGGCCAACACCTTCCATTTCTATAGCTAGGACAGTTCCCACAGTTTATGGAACTGTTCAAGCCTACATTCCTTGACCCACTTACTCTCTATTGGGCAACACTGGTGTGTTTGTTATTTTTCTTGTCTTTGTGCCAAATACCCCACCAAAAGCTCCACTTAAGGAACAGTTTTAGGGGATACAGTCATCACGGCAGGAAGGCATGGCAGCCAGGGTATGAGGCAGCTCGTCACATTGCACCCAGTCAGGATGAAGAGGGACACGGTGCTGGTGTTCAATGTGCTTTCTTCCTTTCACTCAGTTTAGGACCCCGGTCCATGAGATGGTGCTACCCACATTCAAGGTGGGTCTTTCCTTCCTTTGTCAATCCTATCTGGAGGCTCCCTTACAGATATGCCCAGGGCTGTGTCTCTTAGGTGGCTCCAAATCCAATGAAGTTAACAAGAAAGATGTAACATCACAGATGGAGAAGAAATAATAAAATCAGAAAGCAAGACATTTAGTCAGTCATGTTAGAGAATGAAAGTAAACAGTAAAGTGGAGCAAAGAAGATGAAGATAACTGGAGGGGTAAGTTTCTGCCACATACGGGGGGCAGAGTGAGTGCCATTGAGAGAGATTGCTTAGTGCTAGTACAGCTGTGAAGTAGATTCACTACCTCGCACTGGTGCTTTCTCCTGAGGTTTTGCTCCTAAGTTCTCCTTTTTCCTTTATCAATTGACCAAGAAGGGCTTGTGAGTACTTTTTGCTGGGCTGTTCACATTTGAGAAAGTCTGTCGTTTTTTATATGACAACATTCCTGCTTGTTATCCTATCCCCAAATGCTTGTCTTTCTCTAAGAACCTTGTGAATATCGTTTGGGGGTCTTGAGGGTTTCCGGGTTCTCCCTGACTGAACGTTTGACGTACCATCACTCATCAGTGTATATCTATCTTGAGCTGTTTTGAATTTTCTTGGAATATGGTGTGTCTTTCAGTTTCATATTCAATTTTTAAATTTAGATGATTGCTATTTTTTTTTACTTTTGGTCTTAGATACTTATCCTTTATTAAATGATTCAAGATCCAGCTTCTCTGTACTGGCTCTTGTGTCTTTGTTTTAATCTGCATTTACTGTGATTATCTCAAGCTCACATCCCTGTAAATAATTTAAAATCAGAGGACTCTACCTGGTCCTCGCTTTCTGTAATTTTGGTATCAGTTCTGTAATGAGGCGGCTTGGGTCCTTGATTTGCTACCTTAGATCCTCCGTCTCCGTTTTTGTTTTTAAACTCATTATCTTGTCTCTCTGGCCTTATGTTCCTGAATTTATATTCTTATTAGGACAGTGTATAGCGGGAAAGAATGCTGATGAATTTCCTTCTGTCCCTTGGCTGTGTTTTCTCCTAGATTCATTCTGTTTCCCTTCCCGCCGCCCCCTCTTCTCTCCTGCTTTCTCTCTTTTTAAATAATATGTTTGCATATTTGTTCTCTAAATAGGGAGGAATTTTATGACTGTTTTATCTCACTAACGTCACCTTTCCTGAAGCTCATTATAAGGAGTTTGATGCTCTTTTCCTGCCTTGGAAGTACCATCCCCATAGGGGAATGCATCTGAACCTGTCTTTGCTGGCCAAGAAACTAGAGGAACCTGGGGACCCTCCCCCAACCATGTCCCCTTCCATCCAGTGTGATGCAGTAAGGCAGGAGACACATGGGCATCTGACGGCTGGGGGCCACAAGGACAGACTAGAACCATATCCTACCAAAGCCCAAAGAAACAAATTTGAGATGACAGGAAGTCACTTTTACTCTTTATGTCAAATCTAGAATCACCTTTCACAATGGGAAAGAACTAATGTTCTGGAAACAGAAAAACTGGTGTTTAGCCTAGACACTGAGAAGCACTGTTTGGACAATTCTGGCTCTCTGGTTTCTCCTCCGTAAAAGGGGACAATAGTAGTAGACTTACTCTTGTCGAATTATTATGATGATTTGGCAAGCTAATGGAAGCAATCCTTACCTCCCTCACCTGGGGACAGGCAGCTTTAATAAGCCTAGCATTCCCTATAGTTATAATTAGTAATGTGCACTGTACAGGTAGGCCCTGGGCAGAGAACATCTGATCAGAAGGGATCACAAGCCATTGAAATGTGTATTAAGGGCAGGGGATGTGGCTCAGTTGGGAGAGTGCTTTTCTGATAAGCACAAAGCTCTGCATTTGATCTCTAGCACCCCTTAAAACCGGTGTGGTGGTGCATGCCTATAACCCTAGCACTCAGGCAGGAGTTCAAGGACAGCCCCAGTTTCATAGAGAGTTCCTGGCCAGCCTGGGCAAGGTGAGACCCTGTCTCAAAATTAAAAAAAAATATTGACAGTGATCCAAAGATAATTTAATAGCAATTACAATATTTAGGGCTATTAGTTAATCATTCACAGAAGAACCCTAGACTTAGGTTAAGGAGGCCATGAAACCAACCTCTCTCCTCCATGGTATGGTGAGAGGTAGAGGAGGGAGGAGGGCGCACGTGAGATACACAAGGGTTCTTGCTTTGGTCCAGTGGCATTAACAATGTCCCCGGAGCAGTGCCACATGAAGTCTCTGGCTCTATCTGCACCCTCTGAGTCAGAAACTCAGGGACTGAGACCCAGATTGGGGCTTCCAGTCTTTCAGATAGTTTAGGTAGAGACCAGGGTTGGAGAACCACTCTGCCTTTTCCAACTGAGCTAATGTTCATTATAGGAACACAGTAATCCTGGGGTGCTTTGCCAGTGTCTCAGAACAGGAAGTGGGCTGTGACTTTGCAGGGAAAGGGAGACCGAATTGTGCTTGTAACAGTCAGTGAACATTTTCATAGGCGCACGGTCAACCTGTATATTTATTCATCTAAATATATATCTTCCTCCATATCATCATCTGTATAGATGTGGAATGCTGCTGTGCTTAGCTATTTTTTAGTGAACTATAATTTTGATTATAAAAAGATAAAATATAGAAAAGCACTTAACTCATTTTTAGTTATGGTAAAAGCCTGCAGCTCACTGTGCAAGCAGGGTACCATCCGCCATCTGGTGGCAGCATACCCCGCTGGCAGGTGTCAGCAGTATTGCAAGTCAGGGATTTCAAAGAGACAGGAAACAGGAGGGAATCTGAGGAATGGAGAAATTGCAGAAGGTAGCCCTTCTCCAATGTGAGGCTGTAGAGTTCCCTCATGAGAAGGGAGATGGGGTGTTAGCGGGACTCTAGATTCAGACAGAACCAGGTGGATCGTCCTTACTATCTCTGAGTCTCAGTGCTAATGCTCCTATCTCCAGAGTATTTTGGGGGTCACACAAGGGTAGGAAACAGCTGGATGTGTTTGGAAAACTGTCTGGAGCTGCCCAGATGTGAACTGTTTATTATTTATGTTTGAACCTTGGTCTTTAATTGTGGAATGCAGTACTTTCTGTTGGAGGAATTCTAGCTATTGGCAAGCAGGTAGGAGAGGTATGTGGTGTTTGGTTTTGTTTCAAAGATTTCTAAAGGACATACAGGAGGGAGAAGACTGTGGCCTGAGATCACCCCAACTTTGAGTTCTGAGCAAGGGAAGAACTCCCAGCTCTAGGCCCACATGAGGTGGTGGG